TATCATATTTTCTTAATCTGCACAGATTATACACGGTACCTCATAATGTCACCCACACTTTTGGGATTGGAGCCTTGGCTCAGAGTCCTTTTATCCAGACAAACAGATATTAGGGTAGAAGTACTACTCTTAATCCTTTTCTGACTTGTTTTTGAGAAGATACTAAGCTGCAGGTGCAAGCCGTTTGAAAACAACACATTTGGGTTTTTCCTCAAAGTGACAGGAAAATCGCTCTTTTCTTCTTTCCTTTTCTTTTAGTCTACTTTATACTTGAGTAATGACATCCAGAAAACCGCGTTTTTGGTTGTTAAAAGGAAGAGTGGGAAAGGACACGTGGGAGAGAGAGAGTGTTCACAAAGGTGTGTGTGCTTGATACAAGACCAGGCAGGTCTCACCCTGAGGTGGGGCTTCATTACTTTCTGCGTCTGAGCCGTTTGGAGATGAAGGTTAATCCCCAGGACCGAACAGCTGTCATTTCTAAACATCCTAAAATTACATGTATCGCAACCTGTCACTTTACGTACATGAAAGTCTCTGGGGATTCACGGGTGGCTGTTATTGTCAGTCAGAAGAGAGGACTTTAGTGTGTCATCGGGTATATTTACTGTCCGTTGTCTCAACTGGAAACAGAAAATGGTCTGCCATTACGTAGGGACATAAGAATTTAAATTGGGGGATATATTCTGTTGATTGGTATAGTGTATGTTTTTAGCTAAACAAATAGCTGGAGGGCTGATGGCATATTTTAAATTAGTTCTCTAGGAGGAATGCATTGTGTTTAAAAAAACGGATTCCTCATGTCTTGTGTTATTGTAGCTAATCCATCACACAAATAGACCCACACATAGTCCAAGCACTTTATTAAAAGGTCCTATAATAGATAATCTGGCTTTAACACACATACATCTTCTTAAAACAAATTAAAGTATTTCTTCATGTGAAAATAAACCAAAAAAAGTTTTCCGTCCAACTGAATTCAAAACACAGGAGTGGAACCTAATACAAATTCATTTGAATACATGGTCTATAACTATTGAGTTCATTCTAAAGTATTATATCATTATAACTTTTAATAATATCCGTATTATGTGTAATCACAGACCTGTAATCCCATAAAAGTCAAACTTTTGCAAACTTAGGTTTGGTCAAAATACTGAAGCAATAGAGCTATAGAAATTGTTGATTTGAAGCAACATTTTTTATTTTTTTGTCTTTAAAAAAAAGACATTGCCCATCCAACTAAATACCACTTTAGGCCTTCAAGATTATCCCATAAACTAATTACCAGCTTAGTTCAGGCCACAGAGCACAGCACTGCTCCCTTATCCGCCTCTCTGCAACAGCATGAACAATGTGTCGGGGTGAAGGAAGGTGTGAAGAGGTCTTCTCCTGGCCTGCAGTCTCTAAAGGGAGGAAGCTGAGTGTGACTGTGTGTCTCCACACTGTCTCTCCCTGTGCTGCTAGCTGTGGCAAACTGATTAGGCTCCTGAATGCCACTCTTTGTCACTCAACACTTTTGCGAGGAACGTGTTTCTATAGTGATTCATGTTGTTAGCCCAACAGATGGATTTAAATTAAAAAATAAAGTTTTCGGTTTAATTCATTATTATATCCCAATGTTTTTGGTAAGGGGGAAATCTTGAGAAATGGAAAAGGTAGAGTATCTTTTCTGTTCAGGAAATGCCATACCTCATGGTCTATGATTTGGTAACTAGTATTTAAGGTTTTAGTAGCGTGTCAACCGTTTGCGTGCCAGGATGGCTTCTGTTTATAGTGACACTTCACATGTCACTTCACAAAGCACCGTGTGCCAGCGCAGGAACCACTTAGGGCTTAATGGCACTTAAATGAGCGAGACACCTCGACAAACCTCCACACAGCACATGTGCTCTGCAAAAGTGATATTCACATGAAAGGATGGAGGAAATAAAACATCATTCTGACATTAATGGTGACAGCTTGATGAGCATGGACTAATGACATCAAAACACATGTGGGCTTAATATTTTAAAATCAATTCTGTTGTAGGCATTGATCACAGGCAAACCAGTTTAGGTCTCTATAACATCATAATATGAACATTAATTAGGAAATGAAAAGTTATAGAAGCAGCAGTGCAACATTTGTTGATGTTCAGAGTCACAACAGGCTTTTGACTTGAACCTGTTTTGCTTGTGTACAAGTATAGAGTTTCTTCTTTTAACATAATACTGGAAGCACAGGTTTTGATGGACGAGTTGGATGTGTGTCAGAGAGCTGTTTGTGTGAATTCCAGGCATACATAATTACTAGCTTGCTGTAGAGCTCTTATTGCGCCATTAGGTAATGACGAAGACATGTTGACCTGAGGTAAGGGAAGTTGTTGTGTTATGACCTTAACTAGCTTAGAACTTTGGCGTCTAGAGGGTCTTCCCTAATGTTGAAAAAAAAAAATTACTTCCATGGATTGTTGATCAATCAGTGTCTGCAAATATGATAAATGTGTAGTAAGCGAGACTCCTTTCTTCTACGGATAAGCAGGGCAATCATACAGTATTGTTAAAGAAGCCTGGATAAGACGCCTAGCTAAAGAGTTGGTATTTGCCTCGGAAAAAGTAATCAGTCAAGATCTACAGAGATCTAATGGTTTTTGTGTCAGCCAAATGGCGTTGGACACATGAACACATGAGGGATTTCCTGAGGCAGCCAGGATATGTGCTTGATTACAATTTCTTTACAATCACATTTGTTTAACATCCTGCATTTAAAGAATGTTACCTATGGTAGCCCAACCCTTTGAATTTAAAGTGTGTACTGTACATTGGTAAAACACAGTCCACAGGATTATAAAGCACTCTAGTATTTGTACATAATAGAGTTTGTCTGGCGGCTGGTTTATCTCTGTCAGTCCCAGCTGATGTTCTGACTTCTGAAATCTCCTCCATCATTGCTGGCATTGTCTGTGTTGACAGCATGCTATGTTGAGTATCTTTGTCTGCAGTCGTATATCTGACTGTGTGGAGCGGCTACACCTAGTGAAGCACTCTCTGAAATATTTTCCTTTGTGATTTTAGACAATGTTTGAGAATGTAATGGAATCATGAATGGGTCACAACCTTAGCTTCCGTTGAAATAGATTTACTGTACAGGTGTGTCCTGGTGCCCTTCCGGCCTTTTCTTTGATTATACTCATTACAAACTTGCACATATATGTTTATAGATATTTTAACCGCGTCATATGCTATCAAACATTTCCTAAGTTTGTATGGAAGGCATTTGGTAATTGGTATTTTGTGCGCTTTGCATAAAGACGGTGGCGAAAGACTTGTAATTAGCAGAAAGCACCAGAGGCAAGGACTGTTGGAGAGGAAATGCATCATGACAAAGGCATGGGGCCGGGACACCTTTTCAGTTCGTCACCACAGGGGGGTGAGATGTGTAGATTTGAAGTAGGAATTCGCAATTGAAGTTGTGTCTCGTCCGTTTTAACATTCAGAATCTGGTCATGAATAGAGATCCTTAAAAAAAGTCATATTTATCCTCTATAAGTTTGTGTATGTGTCTGGTTGTCATCTGACTGCGGTGATATATAATTATATATTTTTTAGTAGTAAATATTTTATTTCTTTCATATAAGCCTAATTAGGGGGCTTAAAGTTTGCTTTTATTAATTGAACCTACATTCTTAGTCTTAACATTCTTGTCGTTTGTCCATAGAAGAGAAAGAGGCACTGAGCATGAGACATATCAAAGGACAAAATAACTCAAACTGTCTTTTTTGAAACTCCGAGGAGAGATTGTCATCAATTGTCTGATTTGGCAGAAATACATATTTATGGAATGCCCCCCCCCCCCCCCTTTACGAGGACATGCAAGTTGCCTCTTAGGTTTGTTCCTCTATGTTTACAGAAGCTGTGCGCTCTTAAACATGGAATAGGTCCATTTGAGGTGATGACAGCTATCTTAAATGGATGGCATTGTATGTTACAGTATGTCTGGCAATCAATCACTGGTTTAAAAGGGAAAAAGTCAAAGTAAAAAGGAACGGCTTTCTAGTTAATGCAGTGTTCTTATACGCAAATAGATAAACCAAAAAACAGTATCATGTTTTACAAGACTATTTGATTTTCTTTATTAGGCAGTGTAAATATTGTTTTCCCTTGAGAACTGCTCCCCAAAGCTTTTTTTCTAAAACCATTAGTATCCCATTCTTCACTTTAGAACAGTTCATCTCAGCGTTAGCAGGGAGCATGCACTACCTCATTTCAGGCTTTAATTTACTGAGCTGTGAATGTCAACACGTTTCCTGCTGGTTGGATTGCCCTGCAGGGCAGTGTGAGCATTGCTTATCGGTGCGGTCATTATGTCTCCATTAGGCTTAGAAAATGATGTTGTAGAAACACTCCCCATTATTCCTAAACACAATGCAGATCTGCTAACACTTTTAACTCACAACGGTGTTTGATAAGCCACCTACAGTATATTGCAAATCCCTGCTTTACTCCGTGGAATATAAATGAGGCCTATTGAGAAAATAACATACAGATAACAGGTGATGACCTTTTTGCATGTACGAGATATTTACCTTTAGCTTCAGGAGGGCTACTTATAATACTGAATTATTTCTTGACATGTTTTCAGATAAGAAACCAATAACAATCTTTACAAAAACTTAAATAGAAAGGGAAAGCCAAATCATAAAGATCCTAGTGGGCTGCTATCAACAATTGTGTGTCTATTTCTGGCATGTACTCCCATTCCTCTCTCTATCAATACCCCGGAGCACTGTGTGGAAAAGAAAGTACACAAAAGCCGTGGTCCTCTGAGAGAAGATGACTCCCTACCCTTTCATTGGATCTGAGACACATTGCATAAAAAATCATCGAGATGGAACTGGGTGTAAATGGGCGTGCATTGTTTGTGGAAGGCAGGATGGAGGGATCTAGGAAAAAGGGGAGAGATAGTGCAGAGAAAGAGAGGGAGAGACATGCCTGAACTTCCTCTACACCCATTCTTTAATGCTCACTGAGAAGCCCCGCAGTGCAGGCTTTGTCCCCTCATTGTCACAGGCTTAGAGAGCCTCTTTGCCAAGTGAGAGGCTTTGGCGACATATGTCACTTCAGTGAGTCTCCTGTCGCTCCTTTAGCCACTTGAGTGGAGGGGCGGGCAGGGAGGCGTGCCTGTGCACCATGAGAGGAACGACGTGAGGTTAAGGAGGAAGGACATGTCAGATATGTTGGTTCAGAGAGAGTTGCTGGAATGATCTCTTGATGGTCCTGCCCTGCAAAATGTTTTGTATGGACTTGTAGTTCAGCTGCACTCTGATAGAAGTGGACTTAAGATGTAGAATGACTCAGAAACCAGTAAGTAGAACTGTTACTTCATGTAAAGTGTTCTGCCATTTTTACTCTCTGTTCTGACTGTATATGTATTTGAGGAGTAGTTTTGTATAATAATACGTGTTCAGATAATTTATGCTTTACTTTACAGTCTTTACTTTGCAACGATATATCGTAGTCTGTAGGGGTGTGTGTTTGTGTGAGGCCGATTGAACTAAGTTTGAGTTCAAAGAAAGGGAGGGGGTCATTGTATACAGTGTGTGTTGGCAAGGATTAGTCATGTAGTCACACTCTTCGTGCCCTAGCCAACTATTGGCTTAGGAAACACAATCCCTGCAGATTTGTGGCTATGGTCTGCCATGTGTTCAGGTAACAGATCCCTCGACTTCCCAAACAAATGCTTTGTGACCTGTTTACATAGTGACTCCCCCCCATTTTACGCTCTAAGGATTTTGCCTTTTAAACAGACTCTGTCAGCTTTGTTTAACTTATGATTAAAGTGATCTCCACGTGCATGTGGAATGTAGTATAATCTGTCTAACCCACAAAGTTGCTTAACTGGCAATACAGTATTTCTGCTGTATTTGAATATAAATTGACTGGTTGTTGGTAGGATTAACACAAATGTGGATAAAAGGTCCCACTTCTCAAGTCACTGGTGGACTGTGTACCTCCTGCCTATCAAGGACTCTGCATGTCCTGCTGGGCTTATGTGATTTTCTGTCTGTGATTATGTGCAGGCGTGCTTATGTGTGGGCCTGTGTGTGTAAATTATAGCACACAATAGCACCAGACAGAGAATGAAAGAGGCTTACAGCTTTATTACAACATGAAAATGCATGTTTACCCCACTGTGACAAACATCTATCCAGCTTTGTTTAACATTCAATCCGATGGAGGATAATCACAAAAAAGTCCTTATTGCAAGTACTACTCTTCCACAATATCTCAATTTGTTTAATTGATTCTAAATTCAAGCAGCTTAATCCTGCATCTAGTCCACAACAATTACCAAATTAACCTTGCTCACTAAGAAGGGGCAACGCATGCAGCTTTCCGTCCTTAGAAGAACCCAGAGCAGCACTCAGTCACTGTTAAGCAGCGTACTGTATGACTGCCGGGGCTCCCTCTTTCATTCAGTTGATAGCAGGATTAGCTGGAGGGTGGACCCGTTTGGCATTGCCAGTGCTGCCGTCACAGTCTCAGCACTGTGAGAACTAAGCCGTGAAATACTAACTGGCTTAGACCAATTTATAGTCTGCCATCTTGGATATAGCTGTCGTAGCAGACTGCAGCTTTGTGCCAGGTGGGTTTACTGTAAGCATGCTATGCCATGTCACCAGCCAGGCTTTACAGTTCAAAGGGTAATCTCCAGGCAAGTGTTGGGCTGTGTTGTGCTACGACATCACAACAATGATGAACAAATAATGCTGAATAGTATAATAATATCCTCAATGGGACATTTTGAATACATTAAAGGTGGGGTAGGTAAGTTTGAGAAACCGGCTCGAGATACACTTTTTGTTATATTCCATGGAATGCTCTTAACATCCCGATAGCAATGAATATATTAAATGCTTTGACAAAAAATCCATAAAAAAATGTCATCTGTGGAAGCCGTAGTACTGTAAAAAGCACGACCAATCATTTAGCCGGCCCGGCTAAAATAACTGGATGGCCTACCTGCCTGTCAGCCTTCCATCTGTGCACAAACTTATCTCGTGCCCTCATTGGTCATGTGCACGTTCGTGTGTGTTGGAGGAGGGGCTCTGTAAGGAAGTGGGAGATTTTTTCTGGCTGTGTATTTTCAAATTCTAGCGATCTCGAGCCGGTTTCTCCAAAATTACCTACCCCACCTTTAAGGAAATGTTCTTTAAATGGGCCTTTATTATAGAATCTAAGTGTTTCTTATGTATACATGGAAAATCCAAATGTATTTATATACAAAGTACTGATTTTGATAACTCTAAAAACATAATTATAAGGATTTCCAATATTATGTAGTTCCTTGCTCTCTATTACTACATTTGAGTGTTAACCCTTCCAATCCATTTATAAATGCCTTAAAGTTACATTTTCTAGCAATAATAAAGAACATTATTTTTCCCTGAGGTATAGCGAGTTGAACAGGAGTCGTTCAAGTATTTTAAAAAGGATAGGCATTGAGTACGATTTTGTTTGTGTATTTGCGTTGTGGTTTTCTATACTGTCACTTGACAACCACAGTATAACGTTTAAAGTAAACAATGCTAACTTAAATGGAAACTTTGACAATTTTAAACCAGGTTTGTATCGTTGCAATGTTGTTGGTACAACTGAACCATGTTCAGCTTCCTCAGTGTTACTGCCGGTGTTAACTCCCCTCAGTGACAGGCAAAGTTTTCCTATAAGTGTGTTTGTTCACAGCTCATTTAGAGAAAAGCATCTCCCCCTCTGTGATGTTCATTAAGTGCAGCATCTCTGTGAAAAGAACATATGCTTGTGATCAAACTGTTGTTGTTTTTCTCCAACTTTAATCAGTAGATTCATCTTTTAAAAAGAAATCTTACTCTGACTCTTTCAGGTCCTCTTCCATGTGCCTTACAAATCCCAAGTGACGCCAGTTGATCCATATCAACACGTTCTCCTGATCTCGGCTGTCTCCATCCACCAGTGGAGGGTGATGAGGCTGGTGGGGAGCCTGCAGCTTGTTCTGCTTTTGGCCTTCACCTCCACAGCCACAGGCCTCAACATCCCTCTGGAAGGTAGGAATGTCATGATACAAATCTTTAATATATTATCTTATTTATAAATCAAACTGCTTGCTTAATGTTTAATCTTTAATTTCATCTTTCTGTTTTGGCATTTGTTAAAAGCGTGTGTTCTTTTTTTTTGCTGTCCATCACGCTTAAGTAAATGTTAGCTGCTTTTAAAAAGATGACTAACAAATAACAACTTGGAGTAAATTGTTTAACTCACGAGTGTTGCCGCAGAGGCTTCTTTGTTTAGGTCTGTGAATGCTTTGCAAATGCTGGGATGCTGTTGTACAGTAGTTCACTGTCTATCTCCTTATTTTTCCAGAGTGTAGCATGGTTTGCATACAACTTTACAACATTACTGACTATCAGCTTTATATAGGACAGTAGCAAATAATATGAAACAACAGAAGAATATGTGTGTTCTTAATCCGAAATGTTAACGTTCAACACTTTTGTGATCATTTTCAAATCAAATCAAATCAAGTTTTATTTATAAAGCACATTTAAAAGCTATTTTGGTCGAGCCAAAGTGCTGTACATGTAATAAAAAAACATTACTACAATCACAATAAATGTTGTCTTTATGTTTTGTTTTTATAGTGGAGCAGCCACCAACCATAATTAATAGCTCATCTGGTCCCATTATTGCACTTCCTTTTGACAAGTCCATTACCATCCAGTGTGAAGCCAGGGGCAACCCACCACCAGAGTAAGTGACATCAGCATGATCTCTGTCATAATTAAGCAAATGGCTGATTAAAGATGATCTGTGAGAAAATACCACAGCTTTCCACTTTGTCACATATGCTTCTGTTTATCAGTGATAGATTGATACTGTGTATGTTGCTCCAACAGATACAGATGGACCAAAGATGGCAAAGAATTCATCCCTCCCCACGTCACGACAAACAGACATCACCGAGTTGGTACCTTCGTGCTTCACAACAAGCAGGTTGTCGAGTTTCGTGGTAAATACCGATGCTACTCTTCTAACAAGTTGGGAACTGCCATGACGGAGGAGATTGAACTAAGAGTTCCCAGTGAGTAACCTTTACACAACAAGCTCATAAATTACCTTAAATGGATGACTAATGCTTTTCACAGTCGCCGGATACGTTTTTTCTTTTTTTTTTAATCACTGTTTTTTTTTTTTTTATTAGATGTGCCCAAGTTTCCAAAGGAGGTCAATTCCCCCCTCGTTGTTAAGGAGGGAGATCCAATCATCCTGGAGTGTAACCCTCCAGAAGGAGTAGCCCCAATTAAGATCTACTGGATGTCTATTGGTAAGCAAAGAAGGAGCTGTTGTTACTTGTTACTTTTATGGTGGATATATCTGTTGATTGATAGTTTTGGACGGGTGACTTGTCCTTGTTAAAAATGTTTAACATATCATTTGCTGTTTGTGTAGAGAAATGTGTGACTACTCTACTTTTCCATTACTTTCAAATTGACAGCAAAAGGACAACTAGGCATTATAATAATACAGAGGATGATAATGCTCATAGCAAAGAAGCTCAAGAAAATTGCAATTATTAACAAATCAGCATGTGTGTCGATATACCATTCTCTGCCGCGCTGTGAGGAAAGGCTACATGTGTTTTTTTTTAACAATGTATTATAGTATTACCACTCTAAATGCCATGTATGATAGACTATCTTTCCGGTCGGCTTTTAATGATCTATTTGGGCTACTATTGTTTTTGTTAAACCCTCCTTGCAAATTCTTTTGTGAAAATGCTTCTTCTCCTTTTAATTTTTATGGATGAGCTTGTCTCCGCTTCATCTGCAAGCCGTAACGCAAAGAGGATGTGGTTGACAAAATCCATCAAACACAACAATATGCATACGGTGGATATCATTTGCTCATAGAAAAGCCTTACTGTAAGATGTTGCCCGATTATAGGCCCATTCATTAATTCACACAATTTGTAATAAGATCAACCACTAGGTTTTTCTGGTGGTGAACTTGCGGAAGTGGAACAGTGTACTTAATTTTCGGGTGACATAGTTAATGTAATAATATAACCAACGTTGTGTTAGTTAAGCATTATATATCTTAGTTTCTGCTAAAAGAAACATGTACTACGGTAACATGTTACGCCCAATACAGACTAAAAACAGTCTGTATTGGGAGTCAAATAAAGACTCTTGAAGCCCCTGGGACACTTTCAGTTGTGCTTCACCTTTGCTTTGTTGATGGTGTCGAGGTGGTATATTGATGGAGGTCTGTCTGCGTCACTTCTACTGAAAGTTTCTTAGGGATAAAAACGAAAAGCTGGCACTGAGTTTGGGAGAGCCACGTGGTTGTCCTCAGTCTCCACTGGCCATCAGTGAAGTTAAGAGTGACAATAAGAAGGAAGACACACTCGAGGCCCACAAAGTTTCAGTGCCAAAGACAGTGATTTTAAAAAGTCACCTCAGTTCAGTCTGAAGTGGTTTGTCAATAGTTTTCTGTCCAATCTCTGGAGAGCTCCTACAACACACCTGTCTGATGTCAGAAAGAAAAACCGGGTTTTGAAGTGGATAGGGCCTGGAGGCATGGAGCAGAGTCAATGAATACACTGGCGCACAATTCTTGTTTAAAAATCTTAAAAAAATAAAAGAAGTTTACTTTCCTGTGTGTCAAAGAATTGATTTCAAAATACTGCTGCTGGTTTATAAAGCATTGAATGGTTTAGGCCCAAAATACATTTCTGACCTACTGCTAAATTATGAACCATCCAGAACTCTCTTTAGGGACTGGTCAGCTTTCTGTCCCCAGAGTCAGAACTAAACATGGAGAAGCAGCGTTCAGTTATTATGCTCCAAATATCTGGAACAAACTCCCAGAAACCTGCAGGTCCGCTGCAACTCTTACTACTTTTAAATCTAGGCTGAAGACTTTTATTTTTGCCGCTGCTTTTAATTGATATATTCATATCTTAAACTGCACTGTAACTTTTATTATCTTTGCTTTTAAATGAGTGTTTTTAAATGTCATTTTATATCATTGCTTTTAAATGAGTGTTTCTAGATATCATTTTATAATATGTTTCTTAATGCTCTTAATTTTTTTCATTTTTGTTGAAAGGTGCTGTATAAATAAACTTGCCTCGCCTTGCCTTGCCTTACATTTTAGTTTCACATGATACATTTTCCAGGGATTGTCTTAACATCTATACATCACATATGATAGAAGATACTTCTATCGACACTATGCATTATAAAAAACAAATCTTTTTTTTATGAACATTGACCAAACAACCAATGACTTAAGGCTGTATTTTACTTGAATAATGGATCTGTGGAAACCAAATATGCTGTCACAGTACACTTACAGTACCAATTCACCGGCTCTATACAAGGAAAAAACTTCAGGGCATTTCCATTAACGTTCCATTAATGACAATGATGCAATTTACTATCATGTGACCTAAGTCTCATTAGGAAGCTCTGGTTAAAATCACGCACACTTGGATGCATCTTGAATAGCTCTGGTTCACCTGATGGATATATTTGAGATGTTCTGTCTAATTAATCTGCTGAAATCATTGATATAAATGTTCTCTTTTTCAGGTCTCGAGCACATTGAGCAGGATGAGAGGGTTTCTGTGGGCGCTGATGGCAACCTGTACTTCGCTTATGCCTTACTGAAAGACAGTCGTCAGGACTACTGTTGCTTTGCCTCCTTCACCAAAATACGCATCATCGTCCAGAAAACCGCCATGGCTGTCATTGTCAAGAGCTGTAGGTTAACCACAATACAGCCAGCAGTACTTCTGTCATATGTTTTTATTTGTATAGTACTTGATAAAAGGATCTGGGAGCACAATGTATTTTCCATAGACTATTAAAAATTGTGAATCATCCCATCAAGGACAGATCCCTGAGATCTTCACTCTCTAGCAGGGCTTGTCTTGTCATGTTTATGCTCAATGATAATCTGTTATGACTACTGAATTCAGCGATACATATCGGTGAAAACAAACGATCACTACCCGTATCATTCTCAAGATGTTTTGTTTTTGTTCCAGTGAAACCTGGCAATGAATCTGCTGACAGCGGGGAAGCCAGTGAGTGATATTCACACATCAAAGCCTTCACAGTAAAACACATTCCATATCATGTGAACAGGCAGCGTTGCAGGGTTGATTTGCATGTTGCAAACACTCTGCAGATAACACATTGACTCCAGGCGTGTGTGTAGTTAACTATTATTTAAACATTGATTAAAAAAGGAGAAATTACTGAAGGAGACTGTTTTCTATGTCTAAAGCAGCTGAACCCCCCCCTGTGAGGATGTCCGGCCTGCTGCTGCCCTCTGGTGTTCAGACAGAGAAGGTGCTGCTGAGGGGAGAGCATCTGAAGCTGGAGTGTATTCCTGGTGGATAGTACGTATATGTGCAATATCATCACTGTATATGATATATTATTAAACATAATAAATAAATGGCAGATTAATAACTTAATTTAAACTTTAATGTTAATAGTTATTTACTGTAAAGCAATTATATGAAAAAATAACGTTTACACATTTTTTGTAATTCTATAACTTACGTTATTTTCATGTATAATATGATCAATGCATTGATAAATTATATATTGTATCGTAGCTGATGAGAGGAGATAACAAATACAAATATTTGTTAATATTACCAGACCAGACATTTAATTACCATTAACAAATGATGTTTATACATGCTTTACAAAGTATTTATTAACTAATTACGAATGCAATATATTCATCAACTTGATAGCCACCTGAATAGTGTTTATATACAGTTTACAAACTAATTATTAGCCTTAAATATAATGTTACATCCATCTCCATATTATGTATGCATCAATACATTGTTAAAATAACTTACATTTCAACATTTATAATAATCTGTAAACATTAGTAATTAATATAATAACTATTGACTAGTTACTCAACTATCAAATACCATTTGGTTTAGATTTTTTTATTAATCATCCTATTCATCTACTATTGTGGCAATTGACATGTTTTTTCATGTCGTAGTCCGACCCCGAAGGTAACATGGATGAAAATGGGAGACAAGCTGCCTTCACGGACAACATTGAACAAACATGGAAAGCTGTTGTCCATTTCCGCTGTAGATGAGAGTGACGCTGGGAAATACATGTGTAAAGCCCAGAACTCTGCTGGAGAGGCTGTCCACTACTTTGATGTAATAGTGGAAGGTAAGAGCTAATTATGCATGTATTTGTTGGTGCATTTGGTTTTGCTTGGAAGATAAAGCTGTTTTTAGTTTTTTAATTCAACAAGTGTCTTGTTAACGTCTCCCAGAGCCGCCAAAGTGGCTGTCAGAGCCTCCTCAGAGCCAGCTGACCGTGATCGGGACTGATGTTCACATCAAGTGCTCGGTCAGTGGAAAACCATCGCCGGACATTACATGGAGGAGGAATGGACGACTGTTCAAAGGTGAGTGGAAATGATTCTAGCTGTAGTTTTATGCATATTATAACACTGGGCAGGAGGGCGGTGCAGCAAGCAGCTATACACAGCTTTAACCACCAATATTATATTGTTTTATACTGGAATAGTTTGAGTATTTTTGTAGTTTTTTTTAAGTATTTTATGTATTCTTACGGTTGTTTTTCTTTGTTGCATATACATTTTAGTTAATTTACACTGAAGTTTAACTGTGCTATGTGAAGGTAAAGCTTTTATTCAACTGTAAAATGTCCTGCCTGAGTACGCGACTGTCTTTATGTAAAGGGTTTGTGTAAGAAGATTATAAATATTTCTGGAGAATAAGAACAAGGCTTAACATTTCGATACTGGGAATGTTTGTTATATTGATCTAAAAAACGTTGTTGATTGTAAAGCAAAACCTGATGTAGTCCTTGTTAAAGACTTTGATGATTCATGTATGTCTGTGTGTTCCTGTCAGATGACCCAGTGAACAACAGGCGAGTGCTCGATGACACCGTGGTGCTCCACAACGCCAAAACAGAGGACAGCGCCGTCTACCAGTGTGAGGCCTCCAACAGCCACGGCAGTGTTCTGGCCAACATTAACATCATGGTCATGAGTGAGTATTACAGTCAAACTTAAACCTTACACAGCCAGCGAGGACAAATGTATTGTCTTATTAACACAATGGCCAATTTATCAGGTACACCTGCCTCTGGTAAATGTCGTATAGTTTGTTTGAGATCAAAAGCATTCCACAGCTCCTTTACATTTTGAGGTGGTTTTATTCTCTCTCCAAACATTGTGTTATCTGATCACAAAAGGTACAATTGCACATTATCCTCATCAGCCTGCATTCCATCCATAAAGCCGAGTTTGACTTAGCCACGGCCACTCATAATAACTCAAGTCTTGAGAGAAGAAAACCCTCTCAGCATCACCTTTTTTTGATAACACTTATGTTTCAGTTCTTCTTCTCAATGCAACCGACATTTGTAAGAAATGTGCAAATGTCTTTTTTGAATGAAAAAAACCCCTCAACATAACTGAAAATGTCAAAATAATTCTCAGCACTTGGGCCTCTATAAGAGATCATTTATCTCTCAAGTATTGCAAGAGGTGTGATGCCTGCATCTGAATTATATCTGTGTTTTCAGTTATCGGCTCGCTTTCTTTCTTGTGGAAAAAAATCACTCATGGGCAATAACTTGACATTTGAGCTGCTGTTATCTCTCCTCCTTACCTTGCTCTTAGATATGGCTCCTTTGATACTGACAAGGGACTACCAAGAGTACGCTGTAGTATTAGGAGGGGACATCCTCCTGAACTGCAGTGTTTTCAGCTCTCCGCCATCCAAAATCTCCTGGTAAGTAATCATCCAGAAGAACAGGTATATTAGTCTGTCATTTTGAAACATAAAGTGTCTATACCTTTTTCAATGTGAGAGGTTTTTTCCAGGGGACAGTACATACCGCTTTATCAGTCAGTTTGAAATCAGTTCATCCGGAATAAACCGGAGCACATACCCACTGCAGTGAATCACGCTAGCAATGACACACTGCTTCAGGTTTTGGCATGACATAGATGTGACATTTATATTTGTTTAATGAGATAATCCTCCCCCTTGCCTTGACATTGAGCTAATTGTATCTAAGAAATATCACTGCAGCTCTGCTACAGATCCACAGAAGGGAAATTGGATCTCAGACGATCCATGATATGATAGCTTTACAAGAACCTTTTATGTTTAGCAAATATTCAATTTCAATTCATTGAAATCAAAAGGAAAAAATAAATTAGGGCAAAAGAGCAAGGTAAAATAATATACTTAAGATGATATATTGTATGTAAAAGAAGTCTTACACCTAAATGACAGTTGTAAAAATGAAATGGGCATGATTTATTGAACTTAATCAAATACCTGGAGTTGTTGCATCTTAATTGGCTAAAACGTTCTCTCCTAGGGCCAGAGATGACACGCTGGAAACCATTGATGGGATACGCTTTTTCCCTCTAAACGAATCTTTGCAAATCATCAGTGCAGACAAAAAAGACAGTGGGATATACCAGTGTGTTGCCTCTAACAGCGAGGGCAAGTCTGATATCACTGCCGTGCTGGATGTGAAAGGTATTTCAGTGACATGAGAAAAAGTCACTGCATACAATTATTCAATATACACCCAAATGAAGGAGTTACATTTGCAAACCACATTATAAATACAATTTAAGTTTGATTGTTTTTAACCCACGCTGCTATGATGAATAAAGTGTTTACAACTAGGTGGTCTGTAAGGTCCGTTGAAACCTGCTTGTGCTAGCCAATAAATATCTTAGCATCCAGACCAAAAAAATCATCTTTTATTGATTGGTAGTATAAGAAGATGCTGCATAAATAATAATGTGGTGGAACATATTTTGAAATCTATTTTTCATGAGTGAAAATCACCATGAAATGTATTGAGCAAAATCCGTACATTTCCATCCAGGAGGCAGTTACTGCGAGAGGGACACATTAATAGACTAAATAAATTGGCTGAACTTCAAATACATGCATCTCATTTGCAGCATGCAGGCATTATAAATCATTATTCTCTCTGGCTGCACCCTATCTTATCTTTTTTATGTGTTTTTGTTCTTGGGATTTGTTCTTATCTTTAGACCCTACACACATAGTATACCCACCTCAGGACGTGCAGGTCATCAGTGGCACCACAGCCCAGCTGATGTGCCAGGCAGAGTATGATAAAAGCCTGCAGAGCACCTTTGAGGTGGTATGGAGGAAGGATGGTGAAGAGATCCCACTTTTGTCTGAAGAAAATTCCAGGTAGGCTCCTGAGGTTTGATAGTGTTTCCATTCGTTTCATTTTTGTTCTCCTAAGATGGGTTTGTTCTGAGTCTTTATCTCTTTGCTTATTCTCAGGAGAAAGAATGCATAAAAGGTCCCAAAAGCTTTGTGCTTATCCTACTCAGTAGACTAGATGGTCAAAGACAGGGGATTTTGCAATTTTTTGTCACTTAATAAATTGCCTGATTACCTCTGCCAAGTCTTTGCTGGCCTGCTTATTACGTAGGTTGTTATCTAAGAAAAAACAACACATTTTTTGTAAGATTTACTAGAAAGTTGGAAAGGCTCTAGCTGAAACTATTGCATTTTAAACAACCTAGAACATATAATCTATAATTATCTAGCACTATGTCCATTTTGATGCAGATTAAGAAAAAGCTTTTCCTATTTTACTTCATTATTAACAATGCAGAGGATTGTGTAGCTTTGCCGGAGGTGCAAGATGCTTTCTGACTGCTTGACTGCTTGATTGATTGAACTTGAATTCTATCTATGTACTAACAAATGTGTTTTTATGTTCAGATACTTTGCGGACTATGGCATGCTGCAGATCATGAGTGTGAACCTGAGCGATCAGGGAGCGTACACGTGCGTTGCCAGAACCAGCCTCGATGGGGACAATGCCACTGCACTGCTCACCGTGCTGGGTAAGATGGTTGTGTAAATAATATAGTATGGAATATCATTCATTATTGATTAGACATTCCTTGAAAGGGCTCAGAATATAGACAGTGTTATAAATATTTGAAAACAGTGGGTTGCATTGTGGTTTTGATGTCATTGTAATGTTTCAGCTCTCCACATGTTTCAGATTATAAATTGACTTTTGATCCTGTTGTATTTGTTTTGTTTTGCAGATGTTCCCGATGCTCCCAAAATTGTAGAGATTTCAGAACTTCAGAGTCCGAGGAATATTAGCCTGGATTGGATACCCGGGAGTGACCACAACAGCTCTGTGATAGGTGAACAGTTAGTGTCGAAGAAGTAGAACAGCTGATGTCTGAAAATAGGTGTTAGTGGTGCTAAATAATGCAACAGAAAAACAACATGTTCTCAGGGGTCATCAACAGCTGTGACCTGCTGTGACTACTAGTTGTTACAATTAAGTTTACAGCCCACATAACGATGTAATTACTTTTTAATTATGGTATTTCAGAATAATTAGAGTGAGGAAAAAGGTTGTGTGGGTTGAGTGAATGGAATAGAATGTTTTTCTGCAGTTACTGTAGAAAACAACATAATAGGATATTAGCAGAAACATGATTTACTTAAGTAGCAATAATATAATGTAAAAATAAATGTCTGTTAAGTACTCAAATTCTGCATTATAATTATAGTAAAAGTACAATAGTGCTTAAAATATATCTCAATTGGTTAATTTAAAAGTATTCATTACCTAAATATAGTAGCTGGTAAGGAGGACATTTGAACTACTCTACATGAAGCTGATTAGCTTAATCCATTATATTTCATCAGAATTTCTGAGAGTATACTTTGTATTATGATTCTGAATCTGAAAAGTAGTAACTAAAGCTTTAAAATAAATTCAGTGTAGTCACAAGTACAAAAAAATATAAATATATATAACAATGGAAATAAATAAGTTGGAAACAAGTAGCTTGTAAGTACAGTACTTTAATACTGCAATTGTAGTTAGTTACTTTCCATCCCTGCACACCTACTGGCACTTTCAGCTAATTGTGTTCAGTGAGTGCTGTCTGGATGAACAATCCCTAACACGTAAATAAGTTGAACTTTAACACCTAAAGTCTGCAGACTAGTGTTAAACCCTCCATTATAAATGTTCTTTGATACAAGTTCAAATCCAGATGCTGCGCATTGTCATGTTTTCTCTGAGAGTGAACAGATTCGGCTGCATTGATCACTGTTGAGTGCTAACTAAAGTTATTTCACAAGCAAAGGCTGCAAGTGGCAGTGAAGTGTTCAGGAACCTGGCACAGAAGCTTGTGTCTCATTTATACTTCAAAAAGGGTCTCATTTATTTTTGGAAACTTGTGATGAAAAGATTTTATATCAACTGATAAGTGTGTCCTTGTAGTGTTTATGTGCTTTGATGTGTGTTATCTATGATCAGAAATCAGAATCGACATGCCTGAAGAAGATCCTTTGTTAGTGTAAAATGTGCTGTTTTGTGTTTAATTAAACATCTTGGAGCAGCACACATGAGTTATGAGGCCAGAAATTCTCTAAACGATATCCGTGGATCAGTTTGGCTAAGCACCAAGTGTGTGAATAAATATTAAAATGATCTGATTAATTTGCCTTGGAAATGGCCAAAAGGCTTTGCATGAAATCACTCCCTTGTTTACTCATTTATTTTTCCCTACATGATGAACATTCAGTAACAAGTTGTTAACAGTGATTTTCGACACTTCATTTTTGACACACCTACGTGGCAGAATGATTGTGCACATTTTACATTAAGGAGGAATTGCATTAGTGGATTTTTCGACAAAGAGTGGTTAAGTCTAGTAGTCAAAAAAATAATAATTCTTGAGCTCGATAAAAAACATCTAATAGTTCATTAAAGATGAGAAAGGATTGGAGAGGACTACTGAAAAGGCACTAGGTTGCCTACTTATGCTAAGGTGGCTGTTGCTCTTAATGTTGCCACTGCAATGAATTGTGGGAAAATGTAGAGAATTTAACAGCTCTGTTCATGACAACACTTAGATATGTCTAATATCGTAATTTTACTTGGTTAAAAATGTTCCTAGAAAAATAAAATATATGTAAACCTGAAACTATATCTTTCTTTTGGCCTTTTGGGGTCAATGAAACATTGATATTTCTTAACTTTTTAGGTTGAGTTAAAAAAATGTGTGTACCAACAACCCTTGAGCTTTGTGCTAAACCTAATCACCCCTGACAAGCTTTGTAATTAACGCACTGATAGGAGCAAACTCTAAGAAAAGGTGTTTATGAGGACGTTCAATTGTTCATTTATTTATTTTGAGAAAGTGTGGAACATGAACTGTAGACATAATGTATGTTGGACTTTAGAAAAGAATCAAAGGAGTGTGAAGCATGCTTTCTCAGCTGTAGTGATGATCTGTTGTACAGTGACTGATCATGAGGATTTCTTCTCTCGTCTGTGAGCACAGAGTTTATAGTGGAGTACGAGGAGAGCCAATGGGAGCCCGGAAGGTGGCGGGAGCTACAGAAAGTCCCCGGTAACCAGGCAACAGCGGAGCTGGCACTACATGGTAACCTTAACTACCAGTTCAGAGTGTATGCTGTTAATGCTGTTGGACCTGGACCCCCCAGTGAGCCCACTGAGAGATACAAAACACCCCCTGCTGGTGAGACTCGCTCCCTTTAATTATCATGTTCTGCTTTGGGTCTCTGTTGATTGTGAAAGCATGCAAAGTTTTAACAATTTGTGAAAAGTGCAGAGAGTTGCTGAGTGGAGAGGCCAACCTTATTCCACAGGACTTTTTCTAGCAGTGGGGGGTATGGATATTTTTGGGTCTCAGAAGCCCTTAAATCGCCAATTATCAGCTCCAGCACACGATGCTGCTTAATCATGACTCTCATTTGAATATGCTTGTGTGTCAAATAAGGATACTTGTGCTACAACTACCAAATATTCTGTTTTAGCTGAACAACATTGAGGGATATTTGCATTTTGGCAGTAAAAGACAAGAGTAAAAAATAGTTAGATTCACTCAATCATGCTATTTTTCTATATATTTATTATGTTATTTTACATTTCTGTTCAAAGCTCCTGAAAAAAACCCAGCAAACATCAAAATTCAAGGCCATTCTCCTAATCAAATGGACATTAGCTGGGAGGTAAGATATATATTATGGATCTGTATACAAATACAAACAACTGATATTATTGTATTTTGATTTTTGATTATATTTCTAAGACATCAACACTCTATCCTCTTGTAGCCGCTGTTGCCAATTGAACACAATGGCCCAGGCCTCGAGTACAGGGTGCGCTACAGAAAACTGGGGGTGGGAGATGAATGGAAGTTGCATATGGTCAACAGACACTCCTTTGTCGTGAGGAACACGTCCACGTTTGTCCCCTACGAGATCGAAATTCAGAGCAGGAACAGCCATGGCTGGGGACCAGAACCTAAAATCGTCACTGGTTACTCTGGAGAAGATGGTGAGTTACAAACTTAAGGCTTCCTCAAACATATGTACTGTCATTATCATATTTCAATCTATGTGTACATGCTACCCATTTCACTTGTTCATTAAAACATACCCTAAGGCTGAACTAGCACATGTACAGTAGCTGTTGTTTTGCTTTTGACTTACTTTGAACTCTTTGTGTTATCAAATCCCACCCCGTCTTCAGTCGTCTTTTGGCATTGTCTGCGGGAAAATGTGTCAGGTTAAGTTCTTTCTTTTTCTCATGGTTTTTAACCCTGTGCAGGTGTGCAGTAGTGACTTTTCCTCCCCCTCTGCTTAGAAAAAAAAACTTCTGTGCTAAATCCAGCAGGTGGCAGATAACCTTTGTAGAGCAGAGGGGTGTCAAATTTCCACTTCTGTCTCAGAAGCTGTGGGAGATTTGACAGATCACGACACACTTTTCACTTTGGGCCTATTGAAGCCCAATGGCTGCTTCCCTGTCTCTGCTGTGCTTCTCTCCTTTCCTACTCCCAGTTCAGTCAATTGTAGAGCAGAAATATAGAGAGTGTTTTAATTTCATGTTTGATGTTGTTTTTGTCCCTAAGAAAAAAAAACGACAAATCTGCCTCAGTTGTTGTCCTGCTGAGTTTGTATTTGTGCAAACGACAACCAGCTTCACCGTTTTATTTACTACCAAAACCAGCAAAAAAGCTAATTTCAGCACAGCCTGAACAAGAATAATGACCTGTTATGGCTTCAACATAACAGCTCAGACCACCATCGATGAGAGCGTTTTTGTCCAACATGATTATTTTGTTGTTTAACCCTCTGTATCTGCAAGTATTTCTTCAGTTTATTTTCTTTCTTTACAGCTGTAAATGGTATTGTTAAAGAGTTGCTTCAAAGGTATCCTGCTGTTAGCAGTCCGTCTGTTTTCCTGACCTTCCTCTTTCTGTTCTCCAGTCCCGACCGCAGCACCACGGGACATAGCGGTGGAGGTGATCAACACCACTGTTTTGAGAGTTAGCTGGACCCCCGCCCCCGCCGCCACAGTGAGAGGTCATCTCGGGGGCCACCATGTACGTTGTTCTTATGGTCCTGAAACCTGATTTCTTTCAGACGAAGTTGTGTAACTGCAGAATTTCAATAGCAGCAGAGAAACTCTGAATATCAAAGCTTCTTATTAAATATAGTAATCACTTTGGTTTATATGAGATAAGCCTTGTAAAATGATGAAATCTTGTTTCCATATTCATTTTGCAGCGCTGCTTCTAAAAATATAAATAAACAATTAATATCTGCTTGAGTGCAGTGCACACAAACACATCGAGCTGTGCATAGAACAAAAAAGAAAAGAAAAAAGGAGGTAGCAAGAGAGGTGCCAATTCACCTCCTACAGTAGGCCACCTCAAAACTGCTCCCTTTGTGCCGGGTACCTGGCATCCTCTCTGCCACCTCTCCTATCTGCATGGGGTTGCGTGTGTGCATGTATATCCTCTGTGTTTGTGTAATGTGTGTAAACACAACAGAGTGGAGAAAGACATTTCCCTGTGAGGGATTAATAAAGTATGTCGTCTTCTTCTTCTTCTTCTTCTTCTTCTTCTTCTTCTTCTTCTTCTTCTTCTTCTTCTTCTTCTTCTTCTCTTCTTCTTCTTCTTCTTCTTCTTCTTCTTCTTCTTCTTCTTCTTCTTCTTCTTCTTATTCTTCTTCTTCTTATTCTTATTCTTATTCTTATTCTTATTCTTATTCTTATTCTTATTCTTATTCTTCTTCTTCTTCTTCTTCTTCTTCTTCTTCTTCTTCTTCTTCTTCTTCTTCTTCTAGAAAGGAGATGAAGTTGATATAACTTTGCTGATAATCATTGTTGGCACACCAGTCATAATTTCGTTTTAATAAAACTCAGCTCATACATGTTTGAGCAGGGAAGAGAGATCTGGTCCCTCCAGAGACGCAATATGGAGACGTTTCGAAATATGTGACCTGACGTACTTAAAGCTGTCCGCTTGTGATCGCATGTTAATGCCAGGTCTGAACAGAGCCATGCTGTAGGCACAAAGGGGTTGTTAGAGTCAAATCAAGTCAAATACATTACCTGGATTTCCTGGTGCAGTTAGATCTTTTTTTCTAGGTCTCATTATAAATATATCCTAGGGTTGAACCCCTTTCACTTGCCTCTTGAGTGTGTCAAAACTAGATATAAAAGATAAAAGAGACACCACTAACTTTCACAGTTTTCTTTATATAAGTGCTATTTGAATAATGGACGATTGAAAGACAAAACAATTCATAATGTGATTTCACAATAGGGAATGCTTTTTGTTTCTGGGTGTTACATCCCAAAAATCTTAGACACAGCCCTGAACTAAATATTCTAGAGTGGGCTTTAGATAGTAGGGTAACTAAGTAATGCTGATTATATAGTAACACATTACTTGGCTTGTAAAGCATAAAACTCAGTTTCCTACAAATATGTCAGTTAAATTCAACAAATATCATCATGGCAATGACCACAAAAATAAAACATTATTTCTAAACCTGTAATATTTTGTAAGGTTCCCAAACCTGATTTGTTTTCACCTTTTTTGTGTGGAATGAGTTTGTGATAAGTTAACTAATGTAATCCCTCTGATTAACTCAATAAGAGATTTTTGCGTGTTAGTCAGGATTTCGTCCAAACCACAGCACTGAGACTGCTCTTGTAAAGGTCTTCAATGACATCCACTTAAACACAGACAGTGGCAGAACTTCAGTGTTAGTATTATTAGATCTCAGTGCTGCGTTTGACACTGTTGACCACAACATATTACTAGACCGACTAGAAAACTGGGTGGGACTTTCGGCAACAGTTCTAAATTGGTTTGAGTCCTACTTAAAGGACAGAAACAACTTTATTTCTATAGGTAAATACACATCTGAGTTGACAAATATGACATGTGGGGTACCTCAAGGCTCCATCTTGGGGCCTCTTCTCTTTAACATCTACATGCTACCACTGGCTCAGATAATGAAAAACAACAAAATAAGTTACCATAGCTATGCGGATGACACCCAAATTTACATAACCATTTCACCAGGAGACTATGCTCCAATTCAAACACTGAGTAAGTGCATTGAACAAATCAATGACTGGATGTGTCAGAACTTTCTCCAATTAAACAAAGATAAAACTGAGGTAATGGTTTTTGGAGCCAAGGCAGAACGTATAAAAGTTAGCGCTGAGCTTCAGTCTGCAATGTTCAAAACAACAGATAAAGCCAGAAATCTAGGTGTAGTCATGGACTCTGACCTGAGTTTCAACAGTCACATTAAAACAGTTACTAAATCAGCCTACTATCACCTAAAGAACATATATAGGATTAAAAGACTAATGTCACAGCAGGATTTGGAAAAACTTGTCCATGCTTTTATCTTCAGTAGACTCGACTACTGCAATGGTGTCTTTACAGGCCTCACTAAAAAATCTATTAGAAAGCTGCAGCTAATTCAGAACGCCGCTGCTCGAGTCCTCACTAACACTAAGAAAGTGGATCACATCACTCCTGTTCTGAAGTCCTTACACTGGCTTCCTGTCTGTCAAAGAATAGATTTTAAAATATTGTTGCTGGTTTATAAAGCTTTGAATGGTTTAGGCCCAAAATACATGTCTGACCTCCTGCTAAATTATGAACCATCCAGAACTCTCAGGTCTTCAGGGACTGGCCAGCTTTCTGTCCCCAGAGTCAGAACTAAACATGGTAAAGCAGCGTTCAGTTATTATGCTCCAAATATCTGGAACAAACTCCCAGAAACCTGCAGGTCCGCTGCAACTCTTACTACTTTTAAATCCAGGCTGAAGACTTTTCTTTTTGCCGCTGCTTTTAATTGAACTATTCACATCTTAAACTGCACTGTAACTTTTATCCATGTATTTTTCCTTTTAATGTTTATTTTATTATCTTTTCTTTTTAATGACTGATTTTAAATGCCATTTTCTTAATGTCTTCCATTTTTGTAAAGCACTTTGAATTGCCTTGTGTTGAAAGGTGCTATATAAATAAACTTGCCTTGCCTTGCCTTATGACAGAGGCTTATATTATTGATGTGTAATTTAATTAAATACTTTTTATATCTATGTCAAATCACCTTTTACTTCACTGTCACCTGTGAAGGCATTAACAGTGTCTTATACAGGGACAATGACAACCTGACTATAGGAAACAGTTACTCAGACACACACCATCACACGAACAAAGCAACATCTCCGTTCATATTTGATGTCTAATATCAGATTTCTGCCTAATTAAAAGGGAAACCAGGCATTAATTGCTGCTCCTCAACTTTGCCTTTGTCACTGTTCTGCCATTATCGCTGTCTTTCTCTTCCCTCCCTCCTCTCTTTGCTCTCGGTTAAGACGTGTTCCTCATCACAATCTTCCATTGCTTCCCCCTTTACAGGTTCACTGGGTGAGGAGACGAAGTTTGCTGAATCCGAACAAGATTTTGGATGAGCGCCAGTCCCTGTCTTTTCCTGGGAAGAGGACTCATGCCATCGTGCCGGGCCTCGAGCCTTTCTCCGAGTACAGACTCACTGTCAATGTTTTCAACAAGAAGGGCAATGGGCCCAACAGTGACCCGGTCACATTCAACACTCCAGAGGGAGGTGAGGTGACACAAACACACAACATACAGGTGCTCCTCACACACTTATAAATAACTCTATAATGCTAAGTACATTATAGGAATATCAGTCGAGCTTGCAGAAAATCCCATAAGGAAATGGTGATAGTTTAATGTGATTCAAACAACACAACAATAACTTTTAACAAAAGCACAGATTTAATTTATAGTTAAGTCCTCCACAATTTTTCGCATTTTGTCACTTAACCTTGATGCTTGAGCTTGATGTTATAGCATAAGAAATGTGTCATGCTAGAATGAGTTCATAATAGTATGCTGCTAAAAGAAGGACATGTCTTTGTGCTCACTGTAAATAAGAGTTGAATGTGTACTTTAAAGCAGGATTTGTATCTGCACAACTGTCAATAGTTTGCAACTTACACAGGTGTAACACAGACACTTGAAAACCATTGTTCACATACACTGAGAATTTATAATGAAGTCTATGCATATTCATAGATTCTCGATTTTTCAGAGGGTCAAAGACCATATCTTGTTAAAAAATAACAAGGACATTTTACTACTTTTTACTGACACACTAACACTGACACTAATTACAAATAAAGTTGTTTAAGGTATCAAAGCATGTCTGAAATAAAGTGGTGACAATAATGTTTAGCTTGGAGACCAGGAGGAAAAAAGTTGTGCGTGAAAATACTTGTGAAAGGCTGCTCCATGTTGCAGCCTTGTGAAAAGACAAAGCAGTCATCTGTTTAACAAACAAGAAAAGGCAAAAGGAAGCTTAAATAACAGAAGAAATATCAGCCATAAAAAGACACTTAAAACAACGGAGAAAAATCACTGACCTTTGATGTAATTTGATCTACTGAAACATGTCTTTACAGTTGCACATTAACATTACTGTCACTCCCATAGCTCCTGCACAAGTGCCCATCCTGACTGCCTCCAACGCCCAGATAGACTCCATACTGCTGGTGTGGGGCCCGCCGCGGGAAGCCAACGGCATCCTTACTGGTTATCTCCTGCAGCACCACCTCAGTATGTACACGCACATACGCACGCACGCACGCACGCACGCACGCACACACGCACGCGCACACACACACGTGACGTACTCAGTGTCGACCTTTTGCCCTATGTAATGTTTCTCATTAATAGATTTCTCTTTGCTGTAGCTCAAGCTTTATCTGTAGTGCAAGGCGCTGTGTGCGAAGTGTAAGCAAAAGTGTAGCTACAGTTTATCAGAACAGAATATCCATGTTATAACACTGGAAAAATACACAATCAATGACCCTTCTTCCATCTCCTCTCCTCTTCAATGTTATCATACCAGACACTAGGTAGGATTGTTTAACACTAAAAGCTGCAAAGTGGTCGTAATTGTGCAGCCTGCTTCAGTACAGATTGTGGTTTGACATTTTTCAAAGTGTTTCTTATCTCGTATCCTCCAGGATTGCAGGTTTCCTTTTTTAAAAAAAACAACTACTTTTTAAGTGCCTCTTATTTAAAATTATTTGGCATTTATTACTCAGTACATTTCCGTCTTCAGAATTAAAACCCACACCTTGAGAACAAATGAATGAAGGGCTTTCATTACTCTCCCTCTGTTTGCAGAGCCTACACAGCCTCGCTGGCTGACATTTCTGAAATCTTTTGTGTAAAATGTGAAGGCAGAGACAGCCCTTTGCCGCCTCCACCAGCACCCACTGAGTCTGGCCAGCTCTTCAATACACTCTGTCCCCCTCTCCTTTCTGCTTTTTCCCATATCAGATGGCAGGCTTTACACAGATATTCCCACACAATGCAGTCCGTGGGTGTTGGAGGTTTTTTGGGTTGAATTGATTCACTCTGCAAGCATATCTTAAATGTAGTTTTCTGCTAATTATATGATTAAATGTTACATGTCATCCTACAGTATATACACGTCCAGTTGAGTCATCAATCCGCTGTGTAATTAACCTTTGAATATTTCTTACAACATTCATTAAAACTTGAAATTTCCAGTTTTTCCGTGCTGCAAACAAACATCAATTTTCCCAAGCGACACCTCAGACTTGGTATATATTCAGTTCTCACCTGCATATCAACATTGGCACAGTAATGAATTCAACGTGGGGGGGTTTCTGGAGAAGTTAGTTGCTTTCTGCAGTCTGCACACATACTGTACTTTGATCTATAATGCAAGTTTGGGGATACTTTATGCTGCTTGTGATTGCTGCTCCTCTGATTTTCTTCCTACTGCTTATGCTTTATGTTCGTCTCTTGTCTTTCTTTTTCCCCACCCATCTGTTCTTTTATCTGTAATTTTTCCCGTTCCTTTTGCACAAATGTTTTTGATGTTTTTTCTTTTTAATATCTCCTCCACATCCTCCACCTGTGTTTCTGTCTCCCTCTCTCCTCCTCTGCTGCTTTTCATCTATTGACACTTGTTTATACGCTCCCACCCATCTCCTCTTGAGCTCTCTATCTCCTCCTTTCATCTCCTCTCCGCTTTCTTCATAATGTATTCCTCCTCAGCTCACCTGTCATGACACGTATCTGCTATATCACTTACTGCATGAGCTAGCATGACATCTCTTCATCTTCCCACTCCCTCATCCATTGACTCTCATTATAGTTGTGTTCCATTAACATACAACACGTGCCGACCGCGATGACTTTTTTCTACGTGTTTCCGGCGGAGGCTCACTCATGCCTGTTGAACTGACCTGACATCCTTCTCCCTCCTCTATAGTTAATGAGACCACATTGGAGGTAGTGGACTCCCAGGAGACCCACATCACCGGGGCTGACACCACCCAGTGGAAGCTCCATGGCTTGGAGGGGGGGAGCCTCTACCGCTTCCTCCTCAGCGCCTGCACTGCAGCCGGCTGCGGCCCCCCGCTGACCCAGGAGAGCAGCACTGTAGCCCTAGAACGTGAGTGGAGGAGATCAGTGTACCTGTTGTGGCACTGGGGTTAATGAGATATCATTTGCATTGCTTAAGGTATGACAGCCCCATTAAAGGGTTTGAAGTACACGTCAGACCTAGTTATAATAATATATAGATTTAATTCCTACAGAGTGGACATATTTATTCTAGGAGTAACTGTACTATACCTTAACATATTGTTTTAATAGTTACGGGAAGTACTAATCAGACTTTCAAAAACAATGGCATAATATATTCTGTCGTTATAGAGGACAGTTTGTCAAGTGTCAGAAGAAAATGATATCAAGGCTTACTGTAGAAACCTTGTAAATGACCGAAACTGTGACGCTCCAAACTTATACCGTGCCGCATCTCTTACATATTCCTGCCTCTTTAGAGTTTCACTGTCAATGATGAAATGATGAAAACTATTTCAATTTCGCCCTTCACACAAATAAATCTTGTATTACTTTACAATGAGGAGAGACAATGAGAATAGAAGCTGAGCAAACACAAGCACAGAAGGATCAGTCATGTAACAATGAAGGCACAGCATAGCACCAGGATTAGTTATTATTAGATAATGTTCCAATAGAGATGGGAACTAATTGAAACAAGTAAATCGTGTTTCAAAAGTTTGCGTATAAAAAGTTACGGCTCCAGTTTTCATATGATAGTGGTTGTAAAAATCCAACAAAACTGCAGCAGAGGACTCACGTGAATTTAAATTTGAGTCGATGGTCCTGGGCCATTTCGAGCTATAGTAAAAAAAGCTACAGGACTTTTTTTTGTAGACATATTTTTGAAGGATACTCGGAACTAGTATAGCCCACAAACAGGAGTGGTGTGTTTTGCTTTTATAGTTTTGATTTGGAGTCAAGCAGCAGCATTATAAATAATGTTATCCTCCAACTACCAGTGAGAAGTTACAATGGTATGCTTGAGATGAGAGCATGCATTAGCTTTGTGGCATTTTGCTAGCTTGTGAGTGTCTGTATCCTGGCGGTATTTCACACATTGTCTGAGATGTTGGATTACAGATTAACTTGATTGGGTGAAAGAATGCTATTTTGGCACTGCTGCTGATTTGCGATTCAAAGCTTAGTTTGGACTCAAAGACACTTCTGAATCAACCTGGGGAGCTAGAGATCCAAAATCCTCTTTGATGATGCAATCTCTGAGTGTAGAGGCATTTCTGTTTCTTTTTTTTTGGACTTCAGATAGTATTTATTTAGTTTTTCATTGCAGAAATAAAGGATGCAAAGCATTTTGTTTATATGGCCCAACTGAAATGTATAACCATGTGTCATCTGCAAAGCTATGCAAATTGACATAACACTCTTTGAAGGCATCACCTAAATGAGGCATGAAAATGTCTTAAATCTGACTGATCATCGTTTCCTGTTGGTGGCTGAACATGATATCTGTAGCACTTGCATATAGTTGATAAATGATGGCGATGGATTTTATATTACACAATCTCTTAATGACCTTCAGTTTTTATCAGGTGGTTGTTCAGGATGTCATATATTATAGATCCTATCCTGTTGCACAGAAAATTGACTTTACACTGTCATCTACACTGAAGCCAATCATTTTGACATTTTATAGCATTATAGCGTTCAGAAAATGCTAATGTCAGTTCTTTAGTTAAAATGTGTGCCTTCTGGTATGTTTTGCTATCATCATATGGTTTCTTTCACTAGAGTGTGCCAAAGCCAGAATTGCATGTTATACTTGCTAGTGGCTTTAATGTGTTTTAGTTTTTTTATTAACAAATAATTCAGGCAATCTGACTAGTATGGGAAACATTACCTGCCACCATTTAGTTTAACTGTTGATTTCAGCCCTCGTAGTACACATTTCTACGTTTTTTTTCCTCTCTGGCTTTTAAATTTCCTCAGAGACGCTCTGCATCTTGTAGATGTATGTCCAACCTGAGAGCCGTTAGATGCACTGTTTGTAAATGTGGTTTGGTAGGGGGCTCGGTGGGGAGATAAACGGTTCGGTTCTGAGCGCTGTGCTCGGGGCACGTTAGTCACAATGCACCAGAGCAGATTTATGGATGCCAATAGCACAGAGCAGGGGCACCATCATTCTAGAGTTGATGATGGGGGGTGATGGAGTGACGGCGAAAAAATAAATGTATGTGAGTTATTGAGCCGCGGTTATAAATGGCTCCTTTCAAACTTCACCTGGTGAGCTTTTAATGCTTATTATTAAGTCAGGATAAATCATAGCTGCAAAAATTGTCTGGACAAACAGACTGCCATACCAGGACAAAAATCAGCCATAGAGGTTTCAGCAGATGCGTGACCACATGACTCTTTGAAAGGCTTGGAACAAAAAAGGAGAGTGGCTGAAGTGAGAGACAGAACAGCATCACAACAGAATGATGGCGTGAAGCATCTGTGAGAAAGATGAGCAGGAAAAACTCAAAGAGAAGATCTACTGGCAGAAGAGTGTGGCAGAAAGAGGAAAATATAGATCTCATGATTTAACAAAGCAACAGAGATAAAGCCGACTGCAAACGTGACAAAGAGTAAATAGGAGCATTATACTTCCATAATAAAGATGTGTTCATCTTCAATAGAGTCAGTAAAGGATTCAGCAATCAGAGCAGAACAATCTGTCAGTTTACCGATACGTTTTCATATTCAAAATATTTACACTGGACAATGTGAGAGTTAATACAGGCAACCACATGTGCGAATTAAATGATGTGTGTGTCACAGGTAACAAAAAAGTAAACCAGTGGTTTTAAAATAATTCCATGTTACAATGGAAAATGACAAACTCAGTCAGTAAGCAAAACATACATATACAGATTCTGTTGCTGTTCTGTTCTGTTGACAACGTATATACAATGACTGTCTGTCTATCTGTAGACTGTATGACTATGGAGATTTACAGTATACAGTAGCATGATTAAGGTATTTATTTAGCTGTCCTTCCTGAAACTAAAAACAACTAAACAAAACATACTGCATAATACCTGTTTAGCAACAGAAGGCCAACAGACACAGACACATAGTAGCTGCCCACAATTGGTAAAAAAAACCTGAATATTATTCTTGTTAAGCAGGTTTAAGAAATGTGTGTGTCAGTGGATATCAGTTGAACAGTCCTTTTAATTAAACTGGTAAAAACAAATGTGTTGAAATATATGTCTTGTCTCCTGCTTGCAATTAGAAAACACATTTATTGGGAGGACAAAGTGTATGATGTTTTTTTTCTCCACGGAGCCCTCTCGTGGTGCAGCTCTCCACCAGTCATCAAATCCAAAATCCACCTGTGTGCGGTTGTATTTATGAGGATGCACTGCCCACGTAATTGTGTGTGTGAGTGTACATGTGTGTGAGTAGGTGCGTGCGTGTGTGTGTGTGTTTATGCCTGGTCTATAAACCTTAAAGCTGGCTTTCCATATATCTGTAATCTTCTGCTGTATTTCATTTTTGTTTTTATCCCTCTGAAGATTTGTCCCCGACTCCAGCTGGGGCCCCTGTTCAGAGCAGTATGTATTACCGCCTGCAGCCACTGCACTGCTCACATAGAAGAAGTAGTTGTAGACATAGTCAAGGTTGTATGTGTGTATGTGTGTTGTGTGTTGTGTGTTGTGTGTTGTGTGTTGTGTGTTGTTGTAGCAAATAGCTGGCTGTAGCCTCAGTAAAGGTTTGTCCTTAAGAGTTGTACGGATATCGTCAGTGTTGGAAGAAGTCACTCACATCCTTTACTTAAGTAAAAGTACAAATACTAATACTATAAATAACTAATACCTAAAATACTCCACTACAAGTAAAAGTCCTGATTTCGAAATGTTACGTGAGTAAAAGTACAAAAGTATTAGCATGAAAATGTATTTAAACTACAAAAAGTACTCATTCTGGACAATGGCCCAATTCAGAATAATAAAAAGTACAGAAATATTATCATCTAAACCTACTCCAAGTTTAAAAAATAAAAGTAATCTTCATGCAAATTGAACTTATCACAGTATTTCATTATTATGGTTATTATACTATCCTGTTTTTATACTTGTAAAAACATTTTAGCATTGTGGTTTTGTCGATGTGGACCAAATGTAGATACTTGAAGTGCTGTATAGCTTAATAGTAGAATTTTGCATTTTACTACATCAGCATATCATTTGTTGATGTACAAAGTAACTGAGTGAAAATAAATGTTGTGGAATAAGAAGTACAATATTTCCCTCTAAAATGTAGTGGGGTAGAAGTATAAAGTAGCATTACATGGAAATACTCAAGTAAAGTACAAATATGTCAAAAAGGTGAATGTAGTCTGTTACTTTCCACCACTGGATATATTTTTGGGTATTTCCTGACTAACAGCTCAGGAAATACAGAACATTTATTTTTAAAAGTTTGACAGTTGCTATTTAGACCCAAACAGTTACGGTGTGTTTACTATCATCCTCGGTGTTGTCGCACAGTTTCTTCCATTAATCTAGTTTTCCCGGTTGCTCTAACAATCCTGCCTTCATGTAGTCTATAGAGCTCGCTTGTTGCACAATATAGAGCATTAGACCTGACAGCTTTGCAGCAGGAATCTAACATCTGAGGCTTCTCTTTCCTTTCAGGCCACAACTGCTCTCTCTCTTTTCCCAGCTCTATCCCAGGCAATTCTACTCATCTTCCTTTAGGTATATAGCTCACACTCATACATGTACAGCCAATGAAACCCCTGTGATCTTATCTTGATGTACCGTCAACTTTCAGCTAACAACAGGATTCGAGACATGGAGTCGTTTCAATCTATTCTGATATTCGCTCATGTTAGGGGTTGGCGTCAGAAAATGTCAGCTTTGCTTAAGAGAGAATGAAGACTAGATGTCACTCCCGCCCACGATTGCTCTATCTACCCTTTATGAGCCAAAATCCAGCTCCACTCAATTAAGTCTGGGGCCCAGCGTCTCCTTTTGAACTGTCGCCTTGAAGGGTTTCTGCTAGCTGAACTGTGCTCAAGCTGCAGGGGAACCTATTTGCCTCCGCTAATCCTCTTTTCCTGCCTCTTTCTCCTTTTCTCTGTGCCTGCCTGTGTTTTATTTTCCTCCTCCTATTTCTTCTCTCTTTATCAGTTCCAGCCTTGTTGAACGTAAGCTCTTATGTGAGTGACACCTTTGCCAAAATCAGCTGGACTGCCATAGAAGAGCAGCAGGACTCGGAGCTTTATGTGGCTTATATGAATAACAGTAAGCTACTTTTCCTGCTAAGCATTGATGGGAACTTTAGGTAACACATGTGTAGATGCTACTGAGAAGGTTTTATATAAACATATAGCATAAGCCTAGCGTCTGCATTGCTTCAACCATTATTTCTATGATTAGCCTTAAATATATTAACATGCTTTTAAAGTTATTTAAAAAAAATGTATTTATACCTCAACAACGATTCTGTAGTTGGCAATAGCTCATCCTTTCTTCTTTTTAGATAGCGTGGATGCTAATACAGACTTGCTGCTTGTGTGTAGGTGATGGTTTCTGGCGGATTTCAGAGGCTGTAAACGCTTCTCAAGGTTTCCACGTTATTGATGGGCTCAAACCTGGGACGGTGTACACTGTGCGCCTCATGTCCAAGAGGCTGCTCGATAACGCTAGCATTTTTGAAGACGTTATCCAAACTCGATTACAAGGTGAGAGGAAAGAAAGGTGACGCAGTCTGTAGAGTTTAGCGATTCCAGCTCCCACCTGCCACATAAATATAATTGACAAACAAATATCGACTGTGGTGAATGTGTGAGTTTAGTTTTTTTTCTTGCATCTCTGTGCATTTGTTATTTCCTATTTAATATTCCTTCAGAAGAGAGTGTTATAGCTGAAGGGACTGTGAGAGCATCCTCTCAAACTAGAATTCATCATGTTTTTTTTAAGTCTAGGATAGACTTGGGTGCTGTGTGCATAAGGGGTCATACTGAAATAAATCAATGTGTAAAGTACATTTCTGAGCTCTGTGTCTCTTTTCTGTTTGCAAACACAGGTGCTGTAGGTCAGAAGAGCAGTTTTTCCACCCAGGGCTGGTTCATCGGGACCATGTGTGCTGTGGCGCTCCTCACCCTCGTGGTACTCATGGCCTGCTTTGTGCGACGGAACAGAGGTGGCAAGTATGCAGGTACGCCGCCTCCGACCCAGAGACAAGAAATGTTCTCCATGGAAAAAGGTCAGTTAGTTTTGAACTAGGGTTGGGGGCCCTTGTCGCCTCACTTCAGACAGGAGCTGAACCAAAATTGAACTCATGGTATGTCAAATGTATCAGTCTGACTTGGTTATAAGCAATTTAAGGTCTCTCAGAAATCCTTAAACATCACCATTTCTACAAGATGACGCTTTAAATTTGACTTTTGATTTTGGTTGACCTCCTGAAAGAATTAAAATGTGCGACAGGCCTCAACCCTGACCTAACCCCCTCAACCTCGTTTGGAAATGCTTCCTGCATGCATGTTGGCAAACTATGCATGCTAACCCTGCCAAACCCAGTTTGGTTAACCCCAAATGAACTGTCCGTGGGATGCTTGCATCTACAGTTTGTCTACTGCTTTGTGAAGTAATTTGTGTGGCCCTGTTAGTTCTGCTCTGTACCTCTGATCACATACCTTGTCAAGCCAGACGAGTGGGAACCAGCTGGCTTTGTTCCTCGCCTCACCTGTGCAGACCTTCCTCCTTCCCCTGCACCTTTGTGTTGTATCAGAGCCAAGTTTAATCTCACCTCGGTACCTACCTGCCAAGAGTCTCCTCACTCACTTTCTCTCCTCAACCTGCTCCCCCTTCTTCTCCCTAGAACTCTTACCTCTTTGCCTGCAGTAGCTTTTTTGACACGATGCACTGAATATTTCATCTGCTGCTTTGGATTCCCCCTTTGCCCATCTAGCTCTTTTCATGAAACCCCTCTTTTGTCTCTCTTGAAAGCAACTGGTGTTTTTAAAGCATATTTGCACAAAGAGCTGCTGTGTAGCACTTTGGGCGGACAAACAGAAGAGAGGCTTTCAGTGTGCAGAATTGATAGAATGTTTACTCAGTCATTTTAAGTTGTTCTCAAAAGCTTTTCATTCCTGACTTTTAAAATGCAACTCCTTTATACACTCAAGTAATGGAAAAGTTCAGTTAATTTAATCCTTTACACCTACCAAACATTAATGTTGAGCTTGCTCTGGCTGTATTCTAAAAATCTTCTGAGAGAAAAGTCACTGACGTTGGTAAAAATGAACAAAAGGGTGGTGCTAACATTTGAGTTATTAATCTTTGGAAAATGTTCACGCTCCAATCCTTTATTTAATCAGTACTCATGACCCAGTCTTACAAGTCATATGTAATTCCAACCATGAAAAGTGCTGCTCTTTGACATGCTATTGAAATGTGTGTCCTGCCTCGTCCCTGCAGTGAAAGAGAAGGAGGACCTCCACCCGGACCCGGAGTCGCAAGGATTGAATGAGGACAGCTTTGGTGACTGCAGGTGAGCTGAACTCCTGCTCTGTGAAGAAGAGCTGCAGTGCCAATGTTTGCTTCAGAAAAGGACATGTTTAAATGTGCTGAGCTGGAGTAGTATTCATCCAGCAACCACATAATGTTAAATATTTTCTGGCTGAGAAACTAATGTGTCATGTCACGGTTATGTTTCTTCTCTCCCTTCCACAAAAGCAAAGCACGCGTTCATGAGCTTTACGAGGATCAGCCTAGGAGCCATTGTTCTCGTCATTTAATGGGCTAGGTAATCCCATGGTGTAGTTAACAAGTGTTTGCAGCGTTGTTAGCTAACCTGAGCTTGCACCCCTTTTGTAGGAATGATGTGCTCTTGGTCCCGTAGGCATCAGTAGTTTATTTTGTGTGTTGCAGTGTGTACCAATGAATGAGTGACTATTTAACACAGAATGTCTTATGTTTAGAATACATAATTGTCTGGTTCTGTAATATAATACTACCCCCACTTTAAAGGTCCCATATTATACTCTTTTTGAACAATATATCATCGGTCTCAGATATATACAAAACATGTCTCTGACGTTTTTGGTTTGCAATACCAAACAGATCATGCATTGTAGCATGCCATTAACCCGTTTCCGCCCTGTTCCAAAAGTGCTAATTCTGTGTCTGTAGCTTTAAATGCAAAATGAAATGCTGCTGGCCGCGTTCCCTCTGAGAAGTGATTGGTTTAAAAAAAACAAAACACACACAATGGTGCTCTAGGAGGAGATTCAGGTGATAAGGTGGGCGGGGGTTATCTTGGTTGGTTATTGGCTTATGGTTGCACAACCCCAAAAAAAGTTGTGACATCACAAAGGGCCAAAATCTGATTAGCTCATTATCAGGACAAAAAGAGAGAGAATCTTTTTTCCTGAAACTTTCAGAATCTCTTTACACAAAGGGGACACATATTTATGTATAAAAGACATGAAAAAGTGGATTTTGCATAATAGGTGACCTTTAAAATACATATATAAATCGTCTTACCTTCAGGCCATACGCTTTTATTGCAGAGTTCAAAACAAAGGTTGTCCGCCTTATACTGTAGCTCAATTGGTAGAGCTGGCCCATCTAGGGTGTATCCCCAAGTGAAGGACCATTTGCAGCATGTCATTTCCCCGTTTCAACTCTGTCTCTACAATAAAATAACTGGTTTAGTTAAGTTTAGTTACTTCTCAAGCAGTGTATCCCGAAGGGCTGGAGCTCACATCTAAACATGAAACTTGTTGTTTTGTTTCTGAATTCGCTTTACTTGAAGTAAATGGCAGGATGGAGCATAACGAATGGTGGTAGTGTGACCCCACTTAGCAAAGCATTTCTTAGACAACAGCTGTAATGATATTACTTATTTAAGCTCTTACATCAGCATCCGACTGACCCCATTAAGGTTATGTTCAAAGTGACTCTAATGTATAAAGCATGATGTATTTGAGTACCTCTGCTTAACTGGAGTTTTGACAGACTTACTTTTAAACCCTGATTTACCTTGTGGATTAGTGTGTGCTCTGGAACATTCAAATGAAGGCCACATTTTTAATTGCTTTACATCCTCCCACTGTAAACACGTAAATTGATTAATGGTGTATAGTCATTTCTGATGGGAAATATCTTACATTCAATAATAAAGGCATAACGAAAGCATAGAAAATGTGTGGAAAAACTGAGCCTTTAAGCCAAAAGCAGACATCTGTTTTACTTTACAATAGCTCTTGATTTTCTATTGTTTGCATTGTTAAGCTGCTATGGTGACAGTTTAGGGAAATGGGATGATCCTATTTTGGCTGACAGCATTGCAGAAACTGTGTGACAATGGTGTATTTGTTTGTGCACACGCAAGAGAAATCACCTAAAATAGCCTCTTCTGTCCGCTTTGATTCTGCTCGTCATCATATTATTCAGTACATGATTACTCACAACAAGCGTGGTTGCTGCCAATTGCATTTCTGCGATTCTTGCCAAGACTGTAATTCTGTTGAAAAGGAAAGGATGCATTGTCCACAGCCTTGTTTACAACTACATAGCATTTTTGTAATAACAATGGAAAACCAAGGGCTCACTGATTACGGTGCAGATTTCAACCAAACGTTAAGTATTGTTATTTTGTCAGGTTTAACACTGATGAAAAACCCAAGAAAGTACCATGTAATGCTGGGAGATAACCCAATTTGATCACACATTAACTTTCATTGATGAACATGATTGTTCATGTGATTATTTTGTAATGTTGTGTTACAAAATGTAGTTGTCCAAATTAATAAATATTGTGCTGTTGATTTGAACTCTGATACAAAGTTCACGTAGGAGCTCATGAGGCAAGGGAAACTGCTAATATGAGTTTGTGAGATGATGCAGATGTTTGGCTACCTGTTTATAATGCCTCTCATGGTTTCTTTCATGAGGCTGTTCTGCCTACTTTTCCACCAGAGTGCCCTTAGCCTCACTATGATGTTGTTTTCCTGGCTATAGAGCTGGTTTCAGGGCTCTCTGGTGCCCTTTGAATCTCTGATGGCAATAGACCACCCACTGGTATGCCACGTGTCTGGGGAGCTGACAAGTGGTAATTAGGCTTCAGACGATTTCTCTTCGGAGGCAGCCCTCTGCTCTCTTGCCCCTCTGTCCACTGCGAGAACAGCAGGTGTCGTAGCTGGAGCAGGCTGTTAACCAACAGTGTAATGCAATTTTTTCCACAGCTGAATTTTATTTGTACTTTCTTTCATCTTGGCTTTCATCGTCAGTTAGGCAGATGGCAGCCGATGTGGACAAGCTCTCCTTCAGTCACCTTTACACTAACATAAATACAACTTCAGGAGCAAAGAGGGGGAAATAAAATCCTCCTTCCACATGAGGTTTCTGGGCTGCCCCCAAACCAGAGTGTCAGCACGGGTCAATGGCGAAACAAATTTAATTACAGTCTGCCTGGTGATGTGCCTCCATCTCTCACCTGTTTGAGAGGCTCCGGGAAAGCGTTTACACAGCAACAGCTGAGACAGAGCTGGATGCGGACCAAGGGCCTGAATGAGAGCTGGGGCTCAAAGGCCCTCAGCCCCATTTTATCATAGTATTCAAAGTCACTGTGGGCGGGCTGCGGCGGCTATTGCATTCCTCTGCTCTTAGATAACAACCACTTATCTTCAGCGCTCTAGAGTCGCCAGAGAAAGGAGGTTTGATAAGAGTTGAAATGCGGACCTTATGTGGCTTGCATGGTAAACGGCCTCATGGAATAGGAGTGATAAGATTGGTTATTAAAAAATCCTTGTGAAGGAGACCCGATTTGTAATCTTAACTTGAACCATATTTCTTCTCCAAAATGCTGCTCGAAATGTTGAGCTTGTATATGACACAGGTGTCAACTACAGTGAGACTCAAAGGGCACTATCACATACGAGACACCTGAGCGTTGTCTCTGAACGCAGGCGCTCCGCGTTATGAATACTAAACCCAAGGAGAGAGAGAGGTTTCCAAACATGGCTGGTTTGGGGAATTAAAAAAGAGAACAGGCAGGGAAAATATCCTCAGTGTTTTGAGGTGACCCTGCGTCTTGTAGTGAGACACCTGCGAGTTGGCCAGTTGCCCAGCCTTAAATTGGCATCTAATCTCCTCGGCCCTCGTGTGGGGCCCCCGGGAATACAGGGAGTGACAGGCTGTTTGTCTGGGATTGCATATGCCCCACCTCTTCCCCTCCTCTCCTTCTCCCTTTCTCAATCCAAACCCCCTCTTCCACACACACGCATACACACAACTCCCACTCGTCTTCTTTCTCACTGCACTCTGGCAATTTCCATCGCTGGTTCTAAAGAGATTTGAAATTGCCTTTGGTCTTGAAGCCTTGGCAATTAGCAATTAGTGAAGTGATTGTAGCAAGCCCTCCCCGCCTCCCTTGTGCTCCCTTTCCCGCTGTGTTGCCGCCGCATCCACCCGTGACTACCACCCCGTATTGATGTATTGAAACCATAAGACCTCGCTTTGTGTGCGTGTGTTAGTGCACCCAAGCATTTAATAGTCTGTATGTACTGTACACGCTCCGTATGCCGGTGTCTCTGTGTGGTTATATGTGATATTGTGTGTCAGCCTCTTAGTGTCATATTGCCTCTGAACATATGCACTGACCCTGACCATCCTTCTGTGTTGTCTTTGATGACAGTGACAGCGAAGAGAAGCCACTGAAGGGCAGTAGCGTGTGTTCCCTGAATGGCGCGATGGGGGACGGCGTCAGCAGAGACAGCATGGTTGACTACGCCGACGGCGGACGAGAATTCAACGAGGACGGTTCATTTATCGGAGAATATTCCGATCGCAGGCAAGGAGGCTCTGTTAGCGAGCCCAGTGGACCCAGACCAGTCACTGCATAAAGCCAGGCTCCAAATGCAACGGTCTACTTCAAATCCTTTCAAGATACTTTTCAAATTCAGCTTCCCTGGCATCAAATATAGCTAGAATATTTAAATACGGGGGAATAAAAATGACTCAAATGTGCAGAAGTTTGGCTCAGGGACTGGAAAAGGAAAAATACACCCACCATACACATCAAATCAAGAGTTGTTGTATATACTGTAAGAGAATGAACTGTATCTTTTGAGTTTTTCAAGATTATTAAAGTGTTTTTTGTACCTATCAGCCACGATCTTCAGCTGTGTATATTGATTGTTAATTTTACAAAAGGTAGAACACCAATAATTATTTCCCACGATGAGAAAACTCTGAAAATGTCCCAATTTTTTTACACAGAGGATGACACATTAGAAATACATATGCATCTGGAAACTAAGTTGATTCATTTATTACACAGTGGAATCAACATCATAAATGCTTTACTGCCCATTACTGTATTATATTTATATATATATATATATATATATATATATATATATATGATGTTTTTGTTTCTGATAATGTTATAATATGCAAATGTATGAAAGTTCAAAATGTGTGTATTTTTTTTAATATTTTTAATTGTACATTGCCATTAACATCAATCAGGAGACAAAAACGTAAACATAAGATTACAATTATATATATATATATATATATTGTAAGTTGTTTAGCAAGGTGGTTAGAGTGATAGGTGTATTGCTGCATTCATCTCTGCAGTGGAATCATGAATGCATTTATCTAAGGAACTTATCAAAACTTTAAATTGGTGAGCTTTCGCCTTCAGGCCCCAGTAATGAAGAGGGAGTTTTTAAACTCAAGCAATTTGTCATACTCTTATTTATTTTTGACTTTTTTAATCATGTGCCTTTATTCCGCTAGATATCGCAGTATGAATCACATTCCTTTAAACGATCAAGCAGCTGGGATATTTATTTTCTGGAAATTATTAATGATCAGTACTTCCCTTCCAGTTTTGATTTAAACTCGGTGCAATGATTCATCAGACTCCATTTGCTGCTCCTTTTTGTAAATTAAAAAGCATCCACTTATATGGTAAGCTCACTTTCAAGTTGAGATGTCCTTCCCCTGAACATTGAATGTGAATATATTCTAAGAAAATGTATTCCTGAGTTTTTGGCTATTTACAAAATAATACGAAGCGCCGAGTGATATGATACAAACATGGCTAAATTAAGCTATTCTCAAAGATCAAACACATAGCAAATCCCCAAAATATACTTCCTGTTTTATCCAAAATGCATGCAGTGAATCCTCTCATGCATAATGCATGTTGCTGAAATATTAATCAAGGATATAAGTAAAGTTGAGATGGGTCCAATTCAAAAATGTTACTTAACCAAATAAACAGGATTCAGTAGCAGTGCCTGCTACAGAGTACTAAAGTGTTTAATTCGCTAGAGGCTCATTATATGTCTAAGATTGACCACTGAGTACTTTTAAGATACAAAGACTTTCTAAAAGATTTTTGAAAACTTAAGAGATCCAGTTAGACGTGTGAAGGAGAATCACAGAGGACTGTGTTTCATATTGAGAATACATTTGGTCCACAGAAACCTTTAACAACTAAACTGCATGTTGTATGAGTTTATTTGAAGGTCTTAAAGACAAAATCCTCCCACACAGTAAACATGAGAAAAATAACAGTCCAAAATAAAGAGAGCTTTGTCTTCAAACCAAAATAAAAAAAAGTCATATGATAGCAAGTCCATCTCTGAAGTATAGTCAACATTGTAGTCAATCTTTCCTATTACTCGGGTTCAGATAATTGGAGCCAGATCCCATGGCTCCAATTATTTGAAACAAAGCAGTGCTCGCTCTCCCCTTCATTTTCTGAGGGAAAATATAGCACCTTTGACGAGGCAGAAATCCCAACTTGCAAAGATGGGAGATGATTGAGTCATCCATCATTTGGTGGAAGCCTCTAAAACAGACATCCTTTGTCTGATTCACTCCATTATTTCTGAGCCTTCATGGTTCAGTAAGATTTTTTCGCTTATTCACCATCATTATTTGTCCCAAAACAAACCAAAAGTGAACCACTGTGACTAAAACAGAACATCATTCAAAAGCAGGACGATTCACAAAGTCACATAAACAGGTTTATTTTGCTTACATCCTGTCACTCCTTTAACTGGACTTATTGCATATCTTTAAAATACCTTAGAGGCCCTTATCTTCTTTTTTGAATACACAACACAGCCTCCCTGCAGCCTGTCTATAGCCTGGTGATTATAAATAGGCATTGTAGCCGTAATCAAACCAGACTTGGGATAGTGGAGTTGAAAAGCACTCCATGCCTCATGGCAAGATACAGGTCATTTAAAGAGGTAATCCCTGTATTGTCAGGGATTACGCCCTCATCCGTTTTCAAATTGCTTTCTCCGCGGAATGGTAAGACCTCTAAACAACAACAAAAGATTACTCCAGATGTTTTGCTCTGCTAAATCTATTTGGAGGACCTGCAGGTGACCCTTTTATAAAACCTTTTAATAGAGTCATAATAGCCCTGTTTTGTAAAGAGCAAAGGTCAGGAAGTTTACATGGTTTCATGTTAAATGGAACAGCCGTATTTGTTGCGCTGCCTTTGTTATCACTGCACACACCCATAGATCTGAGTTTAAAGCGGATCACTCCCTTTCAGTCAATTTGATCTGAGCTAATATTTAGGCTAAGTAGCCTGGCAATTGCCTGGTGGGAGGAAATCGATAGCATACTGACACATGCTGTGAGTTCAGCCCTCAGCGTTGCATCAATCTTAAACCAACTGAAGACGCTGCAAGGGCACAGTGTAAGAAGTGAAGCATGGAGGGAAGATTGACATTTTCTTAGGGTGCAAGATGTTGAGTCGACGCTGTGAATACCCAGTCAAGAAGAAGGTAACACGGTGGCCATGAAGGCATCAATAATGAACACCAGCGAGTTCAACGAGAGGGGAACTGTGATAGGTATTCCAGAGATGCTCCTATGGAAAACCTTCTATTTGTTGGTGGGTTTTAAAGCATTTGCAAAGGAATCTGCATCAGGAGTTAAACCAATGTCACAGCTCCCGCTTTCTAAAAAGGGACAAACAGTGTTCCGGGGGCCTATTGAAAGCAACACACGCAAACACTCTCAAGGATGAGCTTTGAGCACTTCACCATAGAAATGGGTTAAGGGTGGGTAGAGAAAAAAGGGGTGGTGTATTGAAGGTTATTTGACTGCAGGCTCTTTATTCAAAACCTGCTTCAATGCAGATGAAGAAAAGCAGCTCAGAAAGATGGCTCATGACCTTGACTCACAATCAGTATGACAGTGTTTTTATCTGGCATATTCCTCCAGCGGCCTTCACTCTTTGTCTGCATATTTTGAAGTGGATATGGGATGAATGGCCACGCTTACCTTTTTTATTGAAAGCCCAAGCAGACTAACAGGAAAAAGATAGCTGTTCAGTCAAGAATGTAGACGTATATTCAAGATGCAGCTATTAATACTGTCTAAATGTGCTTTGTCTCTAACAAATTCTTCCTGTCTTGTAACTGCATAAAAAACTAAAATAAATCTAAATGCATCAATATCTGAAATGAAAGTTCTTCCAGTCACAGTAACTCTTATCTAATTTCAGGTCTCAGGCGTCCTCCTCCCGCTTCTGCTCATTTCTTTTGTCATCTCAACATGGTGCTAGACTCACCTTCTGCTAACATTTAATTTGTCTCACTAGAATGCAAATGGATTAGGATGATTCTGCATACAGAGAATCCTTTTAGAGGGCTATTATTTCCCTGGTAAACTGCTTTAGATGCAAGCCCAGACACTCTCGAATGCCAGCCAGCAATTGAGTGGATGTTTGCTTGTGTGTGTGAGAGAGAGAGAGAGAGGGTATGAGTAGGGCAGGATGAGGCAGGGACACTCAGCCATGGCAGAAACTAATGAGACATGCATCGGTAATATGATTACAAAGTCAGCCTGTCTGTGTCAGAGACCAGGGGGCCGCTTTAGAGACATCTGCCTAGAACAAAGTGGACAGTGGCATGTTCAGTTGTACTGTGTCTGCTTTTCATTACTCTACCTGTAAGAGAGTGGCAGCGAGTACAGATGGTGAAAACGATGCTCACGCTGTTACTTTGTCATTCAGATAATGACAACTCATGATGAATGATGATTTGAAACAGCTCTGGTGTGCGTCTCATTCAGAAATGCAGTCTGGGCTGTTTTAGGTCAAAACATCTTGAGTTGGATCTAGAAAAGGATTTCATCGAGACTACTGCCGGAGGTATAGATAAGATACTTGTTAGTGATGTGTGGGTGTTGAATAATTCTCACCTTCCTTTCTTAGCCCTCGGCTGCCAAAGAAACAACTTGGCACAAACCGCGATCAGCAGCTCCAAGTCTCTGCGACAGGGCCTTGTGACAATTAACATGTACACAGCTAATGTAACATAATGACAATACTTATTTGTTCATGTTTGAACACTCTCCCACAGTGATGCTTTTAGTGTTATTTTTGGTTAATAGCAACTCAAATTGTCAGAACATGAAGTGCAGCAGTGTGTTCTTTTCTTTCTTATCCTTGGCAGTAATCAGACTCTGGTATTGTATAAATAACCCCTTCCTAAAAGAAAAAAAAGATAAATTGAGTTTGAAAGCTAACCCTGATATTCTGTTTTTGTCTTATTAAAGTACAAAAGGCAGGCTGCGGCAAGAGAGAAGTGGACACAGAGTGCTTTAGAAACTAATCAAAAGAGTTATTTCAGTTTGCAGACATTTGTTAATAAGCAAGTGATGAGAAGCCCTGGATATCAAACAGATGGGAGAGATACTTCAATGTCAATTTTTCCTAAGCAATTCTTTTTTTCGATGAATTTGTTCCTGCGGTGCGCTTCTTGTGGAACACCACTCCTGAATTATTCATTACGCCTTCATTAAAACACCTACATTTGCATAACACACAGGGCCGAATAAGATGCTGCATTAGGGCTTTTGATCCTGGTGTACATGTCAAATAATTTAACACACAACTGGACCGCCGAAAAAGCCCAGAAACAAGGAAAACTTTAAATGTCCCAAAAATAAACTAATAAAACTTGGCTAAAAGTTTGAAATGAGAAATTATCACGCAGAGATGTAAGTGGGTCAGAGTGGACCCCTTTGGTGCAATAACCCACTTGAAGAAGTAAATAAACCATGATAAAGTATGATTGGGAGGGTTTCTCAGGAGAAGCTACTGTGTTGTGATTTATTACAACAA